AAAGATGCAGATTAGTTAAGTCAGCAAAATTTAAATACACGCACACACACATTGTGTTCAATGATTGTGAGATTCGGTATTGTTAAAATGTCAATTCTCAAACTGCTGAATGAATTTTTCAAGATATTGGTAAGAGGATTCTGAAATTTATGCTGGAACAAGACAGGACTCATATTAGAGCTCTACAGTGATCAAGACTGGGAGGGGCGGACATTGAGGAGCAGCTGGTGAAGTCCAGGCTGCTCTGCTTCCGATCCTGCTCCCTGGATGTGCCCCGGGCAGGAAGCAGAAGATGGCAGAAGGAGCACCCACAGGTGCTCCTGGGTCTGTCCTGGCCCGACCCTGGCCATAGAGTCAGTGGTGAGGAAGTTTCTCACACACACACACACTCACTTGGTCATTCAGTCACAACAGTCACAACGCTGCGCGATCGCACGGTGTGTGGTGTCCCCTCCCTGTATCTCTTTCCCAAGGACGCAGTAGAGCACAGGGGTCAGTGCTGTGCTGTGTCCTGAAGCAGGTCTGTGGCAGAGACTTCCCAGGCCCTGGAGTGGACTTTCTCCCTTACACTCTCAAAGGGGCACAGGGGGCTACAGTTCTCCCCCGACCACAGCTTGGTGTGGCAGCTTAGCTAAGTGCCAGCAGTGCACTCTAAGCTCCAAATTAAGCAAATTTGTTGTTCACTCTTTTTTTTTGTTTTTAAGATTTATTTTTATTATTTTTTCATTGGAAAGGCGGATATACAGAGAGGAGAGACAGAGAGGAAGAGCCTCCGTCCGATGATCCACTCCCCAAGTGAGCGCAACGGGCCGATACTGTGCCGGTCCAAAGCCAGGAGCCTCTTCCGGGTCTCCCACGCAGGTGCAGGTTCCCAAAGCTTTGGGCCGTCCTCGACTGCTTTCCCAGGCCACAGGCAGGGAGCTGGAAGGGAAGCGGGGCTGCCGGGATTAGAACCGGCGCCCATATGGGATCCCGGGCGTGCAAGGCGAGGACCTTTAACCACTTGCGCCACCGCGCCGGCCCGTTCACTCTTTTTTGTCTTGGGTCATTAGTGGGGATTGTGAGAGCTGAAAGGGCAGAATCAAAGTCCCACTCAGGCAGTTTGCAGTTGCCCCTGGCAACCGGTAGCTTGGTTTCTTTCGTTTTCATGACAGGCACTCGGTCATGGTGGGATAGACGTGGTGCCCACTCCTGAGTCTGAGTGACAGGCACTCAGTCATGGTGGGATAGATACGTGGTGCCCACTCCTGAGTCTGAGTGACGGGCACGCGGTCATGGTGGGATAGATACGTGGTGCCCACTCCTGAGTCTGAGTGACAGGCACTCAGTCATGGTAGGAAAGGGGTGTGGTGCCCACTCCTGAGTCTGAGTGACAGGCACTCAGTCTTGGTAGGAAAGGGGTGTGGTGCCCACTCCTGAGTCTGAGTGATGGGCACTCTTACAGTAGGATGGGGGCATGTGCCCACTCCTGAGTGACAGGCACTCATCATGCAGACTCTTCCCTGTTTGGAAGTGTTGCTATCTCTCACTTGATGCACATTTGCTCCATGTTTAGAATGATGTCTTTCCTTACTGCTTTCAGATGAAAACTGATCAATAAATACCTTTTCCAAAGTTGTATGGACATGGCCACATGATTTACATAGGACCATAAATGTGTTCATTTGAAGTACTCTTTAATGTTGCAAATTTATCAGTAATCAAGTTAACACTTCTTTCTTTAACTGTTACAACAGGAGATTAATATAATGTTCATTTCTCAACCAATAACTCTTACAGATAGATAAGCAGTGGCTTGTATCAAAATCCTCTGTTCTCTGAGAAAATATACTTGCTCTGCAATTGAACTTTATTAAGGAGCACCAATTCTGGATACATTGAGTGGTTTTTTTTTTTTGCTTGAGTAGTTATGATAATAATAACAGTTATCATGTATTATTTGTGACCTATGTCAGACATAGTGCTAAATCATTTTCTTTTTTTTTTTTTTTTTTAAAGATTTATTTTTATTATTTTCTCATTGGAAAGGCGGATATACAGAGAGGAGAGACAGAGAGGAAGATCTTCCATCCGATGATTCACTCCCCAAGTGAGCGCAACGGGCCGATACTATGCCGATCCGAAGCCAGGAGCCTCTTCCGGGTCTCCCACGCAGGTGCAGGGTCCCAAAGCCTTGGGCCGTCCTCGACTGCTTTCCCGGGCCACAGGCAGGGAGCTGGAAGGGAAGCGGGGCTGCCGGGATTAGAACCGGCGCCCATATGGGATCCCGGGCGTGCTAGGCGAGGACCTTAACCACTTGCGCCACCGCGCCGGGCCCAATCATTTTCTTTTCATAAAATTTATTTTATTTTTAGTTGTGAGGAATGCGTGTCTATGTGAGTTTCTGAATAGGGTGGGGAGGATTGACTATGGAGGAAGGTGGTGGGACAAATGTTTCGTTTTTTTTTTCTTCTATAACTGCAGAGGGGGAAAAGGAGGGGGCCACTCCTTGCTGTCAATATACGTCAGCTCCCAGGGGTGGGAGGATGGTCATTTGGTGATGTCAAACTACGTCAGCCCCCGGGGGTGGGAGGATGGTCATTTGATGATGTCAAACTATGTCAGCACGTGGGGGTGGGAGGATGGTCATTTGATGATGCCTCAAAGATCTGGACGTGAGGAAGAATTCCAAGCTATTGCTTGAGTGTTTTCATAGTTCTGAGATGTTGTTGTCTTCATTGCGTCATGGTTGAGAAGATCTTTCCAAGGTTTGCTGGGCTGATCAAGTCCACCTAAGTGAACCCACAGGCCTAGACACTTGCTGCATAGCTTGGCCAGGAGAGCTGTCCTTACTGTTCTGCTTTCCATCCTCTGATGAAGTACTCAACATGGATTGTCTGCACTATGTAAACAATATTAAAGTGGAGGCTACTTTACTTCTCATTCAGCTCCAGGATAATATGCCTGAGAAAGCCACGGAAGATGATCTGAGTAGCTGGGCTCCTGCCATCGTGTGGGAGACCTCGGTGGAGTTTTGGGCTCTTGCCTTCAGCCTGGCCCAGCCATGATGGTTGCAGCCATTTGGGGAGTAACTCTGCCTTTCAAATACATCAATCTTTTGAAATAAACTATATCTGGATCTGCCACATGGGTGGCAGGGTTCCAGGTACTTGAGCCATATTCTGCTGCCTTCACAGACACCTTAGCAGGAAGCTGGATTGGAAGAGAGTGCCTGGAACTTGAACCAGCTCTTCAACATTGGATGTTGGCATTGCAAGCAGCGGCTTTACCTGTTATGTCATAGTGTCAACCTTCATTAAAAAAAAGTGTGTGTATCTACCATCTCAGACACATCAGCAGGAGGCTGAATCAGCAGAGCAGAGCAGCCGGGTCTCCGGTCTCCAGATCCTCTGAGATGGATGTGGGCAGTGCCACAGTGCCAGCCCCAGGATGTGGTAGGCATCTCATCCCTACTCCAAACATGAGGAAACTGAATCAATGAATAGTTGGTTCAAGGTTACTCAACTAGGAAGTGGGGAAAGTACTAGCTGCTTCCAGCAATCCATTTTGGGAGTGCCATTACATGGCTAAATGCCAAAGCACAAACACTAAAAAAAAAAAAAAAAAAAAATCAATCATGAATCGTTGGTTGCTTAGTGTTGTCTGGACTCTGGGTTGGTGTACTGAATTCACTGGAGTGCCTTATCGAATTCCTTCTCTCTGACTTCTTAATATGGTTAAAAATCTAAAGAGAATTGGTGAATCCTCAAGTTTCCAAATTACTTTACACTAAAGGAACTCTTAAAACCTCAATTATATCATTAGATGATGAGCACACCCTCACATGAGCAAAGAATACAGTAATAGAGAAGAGAAATAATTATGGTAATAATGATAATAATAATACAATAATTAAATATTAGGGTAGTAATGTTGGAATTAGAAGTTATTGAAGTTGAAATGTGGACATTGAAATGAAATTTCTCTCTTCAATTAAGAAGTAATATCCTTCTATTACCTTAAAATATTAGAGGCAAAGTCATTTCACAAAGACTTCTTTCCCTTGGCAAACTATTGAGCTGAAGCCGGGAAGCTTTCCCAGACGACAGCTTACATTATCTATCCACTCCTCTTCCTTCTAACTTGAGAGGAATTCTCCGAGTCTAAATCAGGTTACCAAATGGACAAACTGTTGGGAGAGACATAAGTCCAGTACTTTAAAGTATTCTTTCAAGAGTTTAGAAGTCCATTTTCCCAAATCCTGATAAAACCCCTTTTTAAATTGTTATTGTTGCCATTAATAGGTAATGGCAACTGAAAATGTCTCACACCCAACAGAGGCATCTTACTGAAAGGAATACATCACCACAGATTAAGAGAAAAACAAATTTAACCCAAAACATTTTAGTGAGTGTTTCAAACAGAACAGGTGACATTAGCTCTATAAACATGTAACAGGACTTTTACCCATGACATGTACCCCAAAACTCCTTTCAAGTTTCCCCTGATCAGCCCTGAACAAAAAGCATACTTGAGGTGATCACACGTTGCACATGACCGCAAAGAGGGGTGCATGGAAGCTGCTCCAGACAGAGCCACTGCCAGGCAGCTGCATGGCTCCCACTCAGGTCGGAGCACGCACAGATACAAGCCATGTGACCTGAAGAGTTCGAAAGGTCCGTGGCGTTCCTTTTGGCAGAATGTGCGGGACACGACGTTGGGCCCTGCGCCAGGTGTGATGTGTTAAAAGCTACACTATCAGATAGCTGCCCAGCAGGAAGCAGGGCCTGCCATGAATTCCTGACAAAAAGATGGGGTGATGCCCACGTGTAACCCTACCAGCTAACACATGCAGTCTTAGCGTGCCTACTCTGGCCTGGGACCAGTCATTTCAGTTCCATATTGAACACATACACGTGCATGCACCATGAGGATGCAGCAGGCCACAGAAGCCATGGGGAGGAGTGGGGTGGCCGTGTGGAGTTGTAGCGCATTGTGTCTCAGGAAATCCTTTGTTGCAGTAACAGAGAACACCTTCTCAGTGGCCTCAAGGACAAGCACCCGCCCTTCTGGCCTGAGGCAGCTGGGATGGCAGCTGGCTGGGACTGGGCAGCGCGGGCAGCGCAGTGATCTCAAGGCGGGCCTCGCTGCAGTTTCCTTTCCCTCCTGCTTGGAAGATGGATGTGCCAAGCTCCAGTTGCTCCATTTTCCCTACAAAAGTGGGAAAAAGACAGTTCTTATCATATTGCATCTCTTTTTTCAAGAAATCTAAAACATTTCCAGCAGCCACCCATGTATTTTCACTTTTATCTAGTAGACAGAATTGCACACCTGGCCACCTCTACCTACAAGGAAGTTGAGAAAAGAAACCTGTACAGGAGTATTGGGAATGGATGTTGAGTGAACCAGTGACAGTGTCAGCCGCGAGCAACGTGTGATCACAGCAGAGCGCGTGGCAGGTCCTCATGCCACACAAGTATGAATTTCACGTGCAATGTAGCTCTAACTGTGAGAAGGGAAGACAGTAAATCTAGAATGAAACAGGATGTCATCATGACCTTACAGATGAAGATGTCTCAAGTAAGATACTGAGTGTGCTGAGCAAAAAGAGGAGGGTGTAGTCATTGGACCTCATTTTGACTCCAGATCGAAAACCAGCGCTTCTAGTCATGCATCCAGAGTACCCAGCACGCCCAGTGTTGAACTGTCCCTGGATCCCAGTGTAGAAGAGGCAAGTGCCCTCCGTGGGCAGGGGTAGCCTCTGTCCTGGACACTGCTGAGGGTTCAGCTCCAGTGACCCTGACATAGCGCAAGGAGCAGCAGACTCCACAGCTCATCCTGAATAAAACTTTAATCCCCAAATTTATGTATAGGCTTAGTTCCCAGAGTCCTAAATGAACAATTAATGGAATAATGTTAAAGTTTGTGATTAATTAGGACTTAGTTTGGTCTAATTGTGGCATCTGGGCAGTGGGCCCAGTGGGAGACTGATGGTTATGTATGAAGCCTCCGCCCTGTGCCTGTGTCTGACCTCTCCTGCACATGGCCCACCATCAGGCGCCAGGCTAAGGATGCTGCCTGGTCTTGGGAGCCCAGACGAGCTCCCTGCTCCCCGAGAAGCTCTCCTCTCAGGTAGTTACTGTGCATATGAGACACAGAACAGGGCACCAACAGAGCCCCCATCTCCAGAGCGGACAGGCACATTGCCATCAGCAAGAAAAAGAGCAAAAATGGGCAAAAGAGGCGAAGATATGTGCGTGTTATGAAGCCTGCCAAGACTTGTTTAACTTCATTCATCACCCAGAAAATGCAAACTAAAGCCACAGGGAGCATGGCTGTGCCACCAGATGTGCTGCCACGAAAGGAACTGCCCAGTGCTGGTGGCGGAGGGAACGTGGAGCCATTAGAACTCTCGCACCCCACCTCTGCAGAGAGGATGTGGCTTGCCAGGAACTGGGACGCCCCTCCCCTGTACCATGGTATCACCAGTGCCTAGGACACTGCCAGGCCCAGAGCAGATCCTTGTACCTGTGGAAGACATGAGTGGGTAAGCCAATGCGAGAGGCTGTTATTCGGCTGAGGGAGGTGTCCAGGTCTAGGGCCAGCATTGAAGTGGAAACCCACAGGGCAGAAGTCCCTGCCATGTTCCTCCAGGATAGGGAGCCCCACAGGTTCTGGGTCTCTGAGGCTGGAGATAGCTCAGTGGGGCTCCCACGCACACAGCTAGCCAGTCTCAACAGACTCACCAGCCCCAGCAGCCCCCCAGCCACATTCATCACCACCTGTAACAGAGAGTGAGCTGCTCAGACCTTGCCAGCTTTTATCTCACATCTCAGGGTGCTTGTTCCCACAGCTCCCCTAGGCCAGGCTGGAATCCTGAAATGGAACTCAATGAAGGTGCAACAATAGCAGAACAAAAAGACCATGCCTGGGCACCTGGCTCTCCCTCCAGGCTCTGGGCTTCTCTCTGGGGAGCACTCCTCTGCACTCACCTGAACCAGCCTTCTCCCCTGCCCCCACCTCCTCAGAGTGCCAACCCCAGTCCAGGAGGCCTGGAGGAAGCTAAGGTGTCAGGGGAGAGGTTGTTCCAGTTTGTAAACTTACGTGTTTGAGGGTTTGGCTGCTTCACTCCCCAAATGCCCACAGTAGCCAGAACTGGGCCAGTGGTGAAGCTGGAAGGCAATGATTTGAGCCATGGCCACTGGCTCCTCGGTGCCCGCTGTGAGGGAACTGGCACTGGGAGCACAGCCAGGACTTCTGGCACTGCTGTGATGTGGGCATCCTAACCTCTAGACCAAACTCTGGCTCTGAACATTTTTATTTGAAATTTATTATAGAACAGATTTATTTGCATTTTAAAATATTTGTTTGCTCAAAAGGCAGAGCGACAAGGTTAAAAGACAGAGGTCTTCCTTGTGCTGGTTCACTCTCAGGATGCCATAATCCATGCTGAAGACAGGGGCCAGGAGCTCCAGCCAGGTCTCCACCGAGGGCGGCAGGAACTGACAGCTGGGCCAGCACTCCCTACGTCCAGCAAGGGCTGGCCTGCAAGCTCAGAGCAGCTGGAACACACTAGGCGTCTCATGTGGATGCACCCCAAGCAGCAGCCTGACCTATGGTACCACTGCAGGATCTCCTACTCACTGAAACATGAGAAAGTCTATTGTGTGGCAGCCGCTGCTGCTTGCTGGGGTGTGTGCGTGCACCCAGGAGGAAAGCCAGCAGTCTGTCTTCTTACCCACAGTTTCCTCCCCAGGTGCCTCCTTTAGCAAACACTGGGGAGGGAGCTTCTGGAGTGTGCCCGTGACAAACGATGTCGTCTCTGTCATCCGTCCACAGGTGAGTAATCCAGGGCCCCTGTCCAGTATCACCAGACACAAGTTGGCCTTAGAGAGGAAGTTCTCACCATGGCTAAAGGCAGAACTAAGCTCTTTAACCTTACCCAGCAGCCTCGGGCCCAGCTGCGGTGTTCACACGTGCACACACACACACACACACACTCGGGCCCAGCTGCGGTGTACACACACACACACACACACACACACACACATTCGGGCCCAGCTGTGGTGTACACACACACACACACACACTTGGGCCAGCTGTGGTGTACACACACACACACACACACACACATTCGGACCCAGCTGCGGTGTACACACACACACACACACATTCGGGCCCAGCTGTGGTGTACACACACACACACACGCACACACTCGGGCCAGCTGCGGTGTACACACACACACACACATTCGGGCCCAGCTGCGGTGTACACATACACACACACACACACACTCGGGCCCAGCTGTGGTGTACACACACACACACACACATTCGGGCCCAGCTGTGGTGTACACACGTGCACACACACACTCGGGCCCAGCTGCGGTGTACACACACACACACACACACACATTCGGGCCAGCTGTGGTGTATACACACACACACACACACACACACACTCGGGCCCAGCTGCGGTGTACACACACACACACACACACACACACACACACTTGGGCCCAGCTGCGGTGTACACACACACACACACACACACACACACATTCGGGCCAGCTGTGGTGTACACACACACACACACACACATTCGGGCCCAGCTGTGGTGTACACACACACACACACACACACATTCGGGCCCAGCTGCGGTGTACACACACACACACACACACACACACACACACACACACACACACTCGGGCCCGCTGCGGTGTACACACACACACACATTCGGACCCAGCTGCGGTGTACACACACACACACATTCGGGCCCAGCTGTGGTGTACACACACACACACACACACACACACACACTCGGGCCAGCTGCGGTGTACACACACACACACACTCGGGCCCAGCTGCGGTGTTCACACACACACACACTCAGGCCCAGCTGCAGTGTGCACACACACACACACACACACACATTCAGGCCCAGCTGTGGTGTACACACACACACACACTCGGGCCCAGCTGTGGTGTACACACACACACATTCGGGCCCAGCTGTGGTGTACACACACACACACACACTCGGGCCCAGCTGTGGTGTACACACACACACACACACACACACTCGGGCCAGCTGTGGTGTACACACACACACACACACACACACACACACTCGGGCCAGCTGTGGTGTACACACACACACACACACACTCGGGCCCAGCTGCGGTGTTCACACACACACACACACTCAGGCCCAGCTGCAGTGTGCACACACACACACACACATTCGGGCCCAGCTGTGGTGTACACACACACACACACTCGGGCCCAGCTGTGGTGTACACACACACACACACTCGGGCCCAGCTGTGGTGTACACACACACACATTCGGGCCCAGCTGTGGTGTACACACACACACACACACACTCGGGCCCAGCTGTGGTGTACACACACACACACACACGCACACACACTTGGGCCAGCTGCGGTGTACACACACACACACACACACACTCAGGCCCAGCTGTGGTGTACACACACACACCATGTTTGGGGTATGGCTTGTGCCCACCTCTGACAGGTACAATCACACACACCTCCACACACAGGCCCACCTGGAGGGCACACACACCCACTTGGGCCCACCTGTATCACACATACACACTTGTGCCCACCTGTGTCACACACACACACACTTGGGCCCACCTGTGGTACGCACACACACACTCAGGCCCACCTGTGTCACACATACACACTTGGGTCCACCTGTGTCACACACACTCTCTTGGGTCCACCTGTGGTACACACCCACACACACACTTGGGCCCACTGGTGGTGCACACGCACACACACACACACTCAGGTCCACCTGTGATGAATACACACACACACACACATACACACACACAGAGCATGTCTAGGGGCCTGGACATGGCTACTCACAGCAGCCCTACTCACAGTAACCCCTTTGCTGTCGTGTTTAGGGATTCGTGGTTTAAGGTAAAGGCCAGAGAAAGGTTTTTTTTTGTAGGGATACCACAGGAACCCTCCCCGGTCAGAAACCCCTGCAAATGACCACAAAACTAGCTCTGGGCATCAGACAACCAAGGCAGAGACGGGAAATGGCTTGGATTGCGCGGCGCTGGCAGGCCCCCACAGCAGCTGTGCACTGTCCAGCTGTGCTGCTGTATGCCCGCCCCCACCTGTGGTCCTGCAGAGTGTGTCACAGTGGGGCCAGCAGGGTGACAACACTTAGTCCCCACTGCACATGCACACAACACACAAAGAGGCTGGGGAGACGTGTGGAAGCACGATGCCAGCCAAGGCTGGGGGTGCACAACCCAACTGCAGTGTGTCCCCCAAATCCAAGCCATCATCGTGGAGCCCGGCGGGTAAGGCTGCCACCGGCAGTGCAGTTATCACGGCTGCTCCACTCCAGCAGCGGGGGATGACCCAAGTCCTTGGGACCCTTGAAAAAGAAAATCAACGGGCGGAGGGCGGGTCCAGAGCCGGCGGGGCTGAGGAGCGAGCCCGCCAGGCACAGGGCAGGGCCGCAGCGGCCAGGACGCGCACAAGGCGGCCCTGCCTCACGGGAGCCGCGTGGGCGCAGCCCGAGGCCGCTCCTGCAGCCCAGCCCGGGGACCCAGGTCCACAGGGACCCGGCGCGGGCACCGGAGTGGGCACCGCAGTGGGCACCAGGGTGCACACCGCGCTGGCCCGCGCCCCGCCCGCCCGGCCGGCCCCTCCCGCCGCGCCTGCGCGCCCGCCGCCCGAGGCCCGGAGCTCCCCGCCCCTGCTCGTGCGCGGCGCTCCGGGACCATGGCCGACCCTCGAGTGCGGCAGATCAAGATCAAGACCGGCGTGGTGAAGCGGTAAGGAGCCGCGGGTGGCGCTGCTCCCGCCTCGGGGCAGCCTTGGGACGGTGTGCGGGCCCGGGCGCAGCCCGCCGAGGAGCGCGCCGCGCCGGCGAGTCGTGGGGGAGAGGCCGGGGACCAGAGAGGGAGCAGGCCAAGGCCGGGGAGAGGCGGAGAGGGAGCGGGAGAGGCCGGGGACCAGAGAGGGAGAGGGCCGAGGCCGGGCAGAGGCCGGGGAGAGGCGGAGAGGCCGGGGAGAGGCGGAGAGGGAGCGGGAGAGGCCGGGGAGAGGCGGAGAGGGAGCGGGAGAGGCCGGGGAGAGGCGGAGAGAGGCCGGGGAGAGGCGGAGAGGGAGCGGGCCTAGGCCGGGGAGAGGCCGGGGAGAGGCCGGGGAGAGGCGGAGAGGGAGCGGGCCTAGGCCGGGGAGAGGCCGGAGAGGGAGCGAGCCTAGGCCGGGGAGAGGCCGGAGAGAGGCCGGGGAGAGGGAGCGGGAGAGGCCGGGGAGAGGCGGAGAGGGAGCGGGCCTAGGCCGGGGAGAGGCCGGGGACCGGAGAGGGAGAGGGCCGAGGCCCGGGAGAGGCGGAGAAGGAGTGGGCCGAGGCGGGGGAGAGGCCGGCGTGGCTGAGAGGGAGCGGGAGAGGCCGCTGGTCACCGAAGTTGGAAAAGGAACCCAGCTTGTCTGAGGTCACGCCACGAAAACACGAACCCGGGATTCTGCTTGTCGGCTCTGGAGACGCGGGGCCGAGGTGGACTGGGGTCTCCGGGAGCCTGGTGCCCAGGCTGGGGAAAGCAGCTCCCGAGAGGGGTCCCCACTCCTGGTCCCGCCGGCCTCGTCACTCCGTCCACGAAGGAGTGCAAGAGAAAAGCTCTTAGAGGGTCTCCAGCTAAACTTGAGGATCTCCAAAAACACTTCTGGAAAAGGCTTGGTTTTCAGTTTGTGTTCCGCAGGAGACCATTGTCAAACTTTGATGCTTTTGAGCAGGCTCTACTTGGTGAAACCCTTTCAAGTTGTCTGTAATTTCAGTGTGCTCCGAATTAATGGACACTTGCCTGTGTAGGTGTCCCCAGGGCTTTTCGGTTGACTTCCTTACAAAGCAAGTAACCATCTCAGTCTGTGAATGTTGTCTGGTACTCTCAGCCTTTTTTCCCTAAAAAGTGTTTCTCGGTGACTCTTGCCATCCTGTGCCCTTTGTAACCCACTCCTAAACACCTGCCGTCCAGGGAAGGGAGAGCAGTGGGCAAGGCAGACAGGGCACAGTGACCACTGGTGGCTGCACGGTCACAGGGCTTTCTTGGGTTATTTTTAAGTAAAAATGGCTTGGAAGGTAGGCCTTTTTCTCTTCCACATCTGCTTTCAAAGACGTTGTTTCATGGTTTACACATGTTTTTGGTTTTGTGAGATTCTGTTTGTTAAATTTTCAAAATCAGAGATAACGACTGGTGTTCAAAAACACTGTATTTTTGGTCCCATGTTACTTTTCTTGGCCTCATTTCTCTGAAGAGGTCCTCACCTTTATTGTGAAGGTGAGATCTAACGTAATAACTCACACTCACACTTTTGTTTTCAGAAACTGGAAAGTGCTAGAAATGATATTCTAGATGCATACTGGGCAGTGTGGGTTCCTAGGGTTGGAATAGTCCAGGTAAGTCAGGTCCCCAGCTCTGGGCCTTCAGACACCAGCTGGACAGGCAGGGGGTGTTGAGGAGTGTGGAAGGCCAGCCAGTGGACGTACGGTTGGTATCAGGACAGTGGAGCGTGGGGACAGTGGCCGTTTCTGTGTGTTGGCCTCCTGGTTGGACGCCTGCCTCAAGAGCAGAAGCAGGCTTCGGCTGCCAAGTTTCAGGTGCTTCGTGAGGTCTCATCTGGTGGTGGGCCGGAGGTTCTTGCTCGGGGAAAGGGATTGGAAGAGAGGTTAGCTCTTGGGCAGGACAATTCCAGGGACTAGTAGTGCATGTGTGAGAGTTGGACCTTGTAGGGCCAGGCCTTCTTGCAGGGCTCTGGTTCAGCTGGTGACCCTGTGGGCTGTGAGCCAGGCTGTGCGCTGACCACACAGTTTCCTGCGGCTCATGCAGCTCGCAGGTGCAGGCTGAACATCCCCAAGGTGGAAATCCGAGATTTGAAGTGTTCCAAGTTGTGAACATTTTGAATACTGATGGGATGGTTGTGTTTTGGGGCATTTTGATTTTTCACATTGTGGATTAACAGCCAGTGAAGTTTACCAAAATGTATCCAAACTCAAAAAGAAAAAAAAAAAAAAAAGAAAAGAAATCTGAGACATCCCCCATAGCGATTTGAATTGTTAGAGGTTTAGAAAATAATTATAGAACATATAGAATTGCTATTTCTTAAATGTTGTGGTATTTCAACTAATAACCAATGTCCAAGTAAAATGTATGTTTAAGAAATAAGTTTTTATTTGTTTTTTAACTATAAGTGCTTTTGCAAGATAATGTGTTCCGTGTCCTTCACATAAAAGGTTACTCAGGAGCTTTAAAGACAGCTTACTGTAACATGCCCTATTAGTTAGCACACTGATGGGTGAATGAATTGGTTAAAAATGGTTGCTTAAGAATACCTTTTTTTTTAAAGTAAAAAATATTCAAGCAGTTATCTCCTGCTTATTATTTATTTATTTTTGGTATTGTTTCCTTAGTTGAGAGGGATGCCCTGTGAGTCTCTGATGAGGGTCCAGGTCTGGAGGAAGGGAGGTGGGACACAGGTTTCACTTCCTTTTTTTTTTTTTCCTCTCCTTAGTCCACAGGGAGGGAGGGGCCACTCCTTGTTGTCAAACTACGCGAGCAGCGGGATGAGGGATGTCATTTGATGTTGCCTGGATGTGGGAAGAGTGTTCTGAAGGTGTCACTCAAGTGGTTGTGATAGTTCTGAGACATCATCTTCGTTGTACCCAGGTTGAGAAAATCTTGAAAGGTCTATTGGCTGACCTTTCTGCATCCGCAGGCCCAGGATCATGTTGCAAAGCGTGGCCAGCAGAGTGGTCCAACCTCTGCCAAGGCCTAGAGGCGCCGGCTGTCCTATCCCAGGGTGCTTCTGGGTGTGCTGTCCGCGGCACAGACATAAGCAACTGATGAGGCACACTCCTGACACGTGCGTTCCAAGGTCGGACCACATGTCTTGTGATTTTCCCTGTGGCCAGGTTTTGAGTCCAGTGATGTAGTTGGGGAGTTCCCTCCCAAGAAACCTAGCCTGGGGTGGCCTCAGAATTGGCTCTTGTGTGCGCAAGCCAGTGCAGGGTCAGGTTTGATCTGTCACCTGCACCAGCCAGCACACATACCAGTGGACACAGCTCTAAGCAGTTCTGTACTAAGCCTTATCTCTTATGCAAACTTATGTTGTGGCCGGGCCCAGCCCAGCTCAGCCCAGCCTACCACAGGCCTGGTCTTAGTGTACACCAGAGGGTTACCCCGAATGACCCTCACCAAGCTTACTCTCGGCTCTGGTTTTTATATGTGCTATGTCCTAGCTTGATCCATCCCGTGTCCCCTCTGGCTTTTGTGCACACCCATGGGTGCCACAGCTTGGCTCAGCCAGGCCCAGCCCACACATAAGCCAATGGGTGCTGCTCCTTGACCAGCCTGACCCTGCAGCAACCCTGCTCTTGTGCTCAACAGCAAGAGCTGTACCCAGCCAGTGAGTGCCCACAGTTCCCCCACCAGGCCTGCTGCCAGCCCTGGCTCTTGTGACCACCAGCAGGAGCTGCAGCCTAGCAGGGAAGTTCCCCACGTTTTCCTACCAGCCCACTCCCGCTCTGCATCCTGCATGTGCAGGCCCCCAGTCCTGGCACTCACCACTGGGTACAGCTGGAAGTCCTGCAGCCCCTGCTTTTGTGTGCACCGGTGAGTGGAAGGTGATGCTATTTAGCCCAGCCCAGGTCTCCCACACAGGCAAGTGCCTTGGCTAGACTCAGACATGCCCTCCAGCTTTCCCACTCTAAACTACCTGGTCTCAGCTCCCTCGCCTACCTGTCGGTGCCGTGGCCTGGTGAGTGGAAGACTAGAAGTTGTTCCTCCCCTGTCAAACACACCCTTAGCCTCTCCCTCTGTAGTACATCCCGAGACACCCTTCCTCAGGCAGGCTGCGGTCCCCCTCACCTGGGGGCTGGGGTCACGTTCCCCGCATTCCCCAGAGTTAACACGAATTCGACATAAGCAGGCCCGATGCCATGGCCATATCCCAGCACCAGCTGCTGGCTGCTTCCCTCCAGCAGTATTAATACTTGCCTAGGTACAAGGCAGCTCAGGCAGCTGCCTACAGCTTGGGCTTAAGCATACCTTTTTATAACCATTTTTGATTGGTAATAGGTTGAAATCCAATATGAACAAAGAATGTTAGGACATTGAAAGTAGCGCTGACATTGGCCGATAGTTTTCCTCTGATTAAGTGAAAGTGACATCGGTAGATTAGAATGAGACTAAGACAATCCACACTGCAATTGTGTTAGTTTAACTTTAACAATCTTTTAACACTCTTGTTTAAATGTAGCTGACATACCATAATTACACATCTACAAGCCTTGATTATAGAATTTTACTTCATGAACCTATGGGGAGATTGCATTGAATTTTTTTTTCTGAATAAAGCAAGCACAGTTCCCAAACTGATTTCTCCCCGAGTTTGTTTGTAGGACATCTCTGACACATAGCTAGGTAAAGCATGTATTCTTGTGTATACTGTGTATGCACCTTGTATACCTGGCACAAAAACAATGGAAATGACAAGTTGCTACATCGTTAATGTATATTAACGTAAAAAGTGAAAATTTAGGCAATACATGCTTAGGTGGGTATAAAATGTTTCCCTCTTTGCTTTAGCTGTTTATACATTTTCCATTTCAAAAGTAAGGACAAAGGTTTTGTGGGGAACTGCTGTTGTACAGCATACAAAGCCGACACTTGCAGTGCTGGCAGCCATACGGTGCCTGGTCCATTCCCAGCAGCTCCGTCGCTAATGTGTCTGAGAAAGCTCTGGAGGGTGGTTCTCCCCACCATGTGGGTGGAGC